GGTCTTTTTGGATTTATATTGTATGTATTTTTAATTGTTGTTAGCCGCTCCGATTGCGCACAGAGGGACGGGGTACAAATAAATTGTTGTTGTTGTTGTTGTTGTTGTTAAAGCCACAAGCAAGTTCTGGCCTATGTCCAACATACCCATGAGGTCTCTTGATATACCACAGGTTCTCTAAAGAAGATTGTACATTAAGGCACAAACACAGTGATCAGAATGGTGAAGAGATTCCATGTGAATATAGCCAACCAATGTCCCCAAGGAACAGTAAAATGAAGATTTTACTGACCATCAATTTTCTTCCTGCTAAGCAATGCACATGCTAACCAGATATCTTTCTCCCAATTAGACTCAGAAATGAATGGAAAGAGAGGCTGGAAAAAAGACTGAAAATGCTACAGGAACAGGATAAGAATGAAGAAGGCCACAACTGAAGATGAGATCATTATGCACTTCTGTGTTTGACAGAAATACTGCCATAAGTTAAAGTGAAAGATAAAAGTTTGTGTTGGTGCAAAGCTTTAGTGTCTGGCTTGTATTTATTCAGAAACTCCACTAAGTTTATATGGGTAATCAATGTAACTACTACTGTTTGTGTATGTCCTTCAATATTTGCCTTCATATTTTGGCTATCAAAAAGCTGTTCTTTCTATTCCACCTGAAAGCTTGTTTAACCATAGTCTCATACTTTCCTATCTGGTAATTTAATGTTGTTGAAATTGTGAAATTTATATTGTTGTAAAATGCCCAAGGTTGCCTTTAGGCAAGGAGGCAACTGATAAATATGATAACTAAACAATTCGCTGTATTGTTTTTCAGTTACTTCTGATGGTATGTCATTTTGCGGCTTTTCATCAAAATTATGTAAGAGCCACAAATAAATTCATTCATGAAATCAAACATCAAAGTTTTATGAACTACTAACATTTTAGAGTTAAGTCATGTTTAGACAACATTCACTTCACATAGGTTTGGCAGAACTCCATAGTTACCATATGACTAAATATACAGCTTTGATTCTCTTATGGATTGCCCTTGAGAATGACTACACATTCCATATTTTAATATAGATAGATAGGATAGATAGGATATATAAAATATGGAACATAATATACCAATGTTTGGTCTTGAGTCATCCCCTTACACTTTAATGGATTAGTATGCATAGATTGTCAGGGCCACCCCAAGGATTTTGGTGCCTGAGGCAAAGGACAAAAGGCTCCTCTCTCTTTTCATGTACAGAAGTAGAATGGAGCAGCCTGATAGTTGAATTTTACATCAACTGTAGTGGCAAGACAATGTCATCTGAGGACAGCAGTTTACTTTGGAAGAGACAGAAAAGACCACATGACATCTAGAACTCAGGGGGGTTGCAGACTGCCAGAAATAGTGCAAATTGGGTCCACTTTTAGGGTTAGGGTTAGTGCTAGGGAATCATGGGAATTGTTTTTTTTTCTGAGACATTGAGCCTTCTCTGTCAGAGAGCTCTGGTGCCACAATAAACTACAGTTCCCTTGATTCCCTAACCCTAACCCTAAAAGTGGACTCAATTTGCAATATTTCTGGCAGTCTGCAACCCCCTTCAGTCCTCCAAAAGAGGTGAATGGCTGCAGAGCTCAAGAGGAACTGCAAGAGGCTGTATTAGTTGATCTTCAGCAATTATCACCAGAACTGGTTGTCTTTCTCTCTAGCTGAATGTAGGGCCTGATCTGTAGATTGTGTTAATCCAATGTATGAAAACATGAGACTGTTTTGAGGGCTGGCAAATAAGTCACTCAGTTTCACATTGTTCTTCTTGTGGGACTTCAGCTCGTTTCCAACTTATGGTGAACCTAAGGTGATCAGTCACAGGGTTTTCTTGGCAAGATTTGTTCAGAGGAGGTTTGCTTTTGCCTTCCTCTGAGGCTGAGAATGTGATTTGCCCAAGGTCATACAGTGCATTTCATGGCCAAGCTGAGAATTGACCCCTGGTCTACAGATTTGTAGTCCAACACTCAAACCACTACACTACATAGACTATAAAGGTAAAGGGGAAAAGGTGACAAGGCTGTCAAGTCATATCCAACCATAGGAAGCAGAGCTTACCTTAATTACTAAGCCAAAGAGCCAGTGTTGCCAGAGACCACTCTGTGATCATGGGGACAGAATGATTGCACAGAATGCCGTTTACCTTCCCACTGAAGTGGTACCTATTTATCTACTTGCATTTGCATGCTTTCGAACTGCTAGGTTGGCAGTAGCTGGGACTAGTGACAGGAGCTCACCCCATCATGCAACACCCGGGCCTCAAACTGCCAACCTGCTGATCTTGCAATCAACAGAGTCAGCGTCTTAACACTTGAGCCACTGCATCCCAAGGCTATGTAGTTGTACTTAAATTGCAACTTGCAGAATGTATCATCTACAGTGTAATAGTGTGGGGAATTCCAGCCAAAACAGATAAGAAAGATGATATGAACAACAAAGAGAGGTCAAAGATTAACCAATAACAGAATGCTGACGTAGTCAAGAAGTAGTCATTTGTAGTTAATTTATTTTTCCTTGGCTGAGTGGGAATTCAAACCCTGGCCTCTAGAGTTATAATCCAACGCTCAAACCACAACACTACACATTATAGGAATGACTTTATTCAGCAGCTCTGAGCAGAATGTGTGGGCTGCCTCAGATGATCTGTTCCGAGATAGTTAAAAAGTTTGCTATGTCCTTTGATTTCTAATTACTGACTCACGTATCTAAGGATGCATCTGCACTGCAGAAATAATGCAGCTTGACACTGCTCTAACTGCCATGGCTCAATGCTATGGAATTCTGGGATTTGTAGTTTTGTGAGCTATTTAGCCTTCTCTGTCAGAGAGTTCTGGTGCCACAACAAACTACAAATCTTAGGAGTCGGTTGAATGGAGCAATGATGGTTAAAGCAATTAAAGGTGTCAAACTGCATTACTTTTGTAGTGTGGTAGCAGCCTGAGTAACAAAGCTGTAGACCAAAATCCTTTTTGACATTAGTGGAGCTCTGGCAGGATAGTTGTTCTGAAGGTCTGGGAGGATACAGGAGGGCAACAGAGGGGGGGTTGCAGACTGTCAGAAATAGTGCAAATTGAGTCCACTTTTAGGGTTAGGGTTAGGGTTAGGGTTAGGAAATCATGGGAACTGCAGTTTATTGTGGCACCAGAGCTCTCTGACAGAGAAGGCTCAATGTCTTAGGAAAAAAACAGTTCCCATGATTCCCTAGCACTAACCCTAACCCTAAAAGTGGACTCAATTTGCACTATTTCTGGCAGTCTGCAACCCCCCAGAGTGAAGCCATCCAAGAGTTCTAGTACACACTCCTGCGGCCTGTCAGTGGTCCTTTGGGATGGAGGCACCACTACATAAAGATGCCATTAACCTGAGGTTTGCAGCCTAGGGGAAAGTGTTGTACAAAGGGTTAGGATATCTCCTTGCACAGTGTCAAAATCAAAGGCATTAAGGTAACCCGCAGTTGTATCAGCATAACACATCAATAGGATTCTGACCTAACAAATATGCATCTTAAAAATGTACCCAAAAATCCATCTTCCCTTAGACTTCCCTGATATTTCCTAGCAAGACTATTTAGGCAGCATATCTTTCTGCACCATGAATGTCCAAGAGCCCTCCAACCTATGATAAGTGGAATAGTAAAAGAGTTTCCTTTTACATCACCAGCAAACAATTGTAACAGTAGGTGATGTTCTGAAACATTTTGTTACGTTGCATGTGAAAGACCTTTGCAGTCATCCTTTAAGGTGCATAATTCTCTATTCTCTTTGTTTTGCAGAAAGAAAACCTGTAGTGAAGGATTTACAATTTTTAGAAACTCAGTAAGCATGAGCCAGACTCATAGCTGAACTCACAAATGCACAATTCAAGGTCTCGTTTCTTAGAAAACACCCTGTTCCTCTGCTTCATACTTGCCTCACCTTACATCCATTTTTAAAAAAACGTTTGTTGGGTTTTCTATTACAAAAAGGATACTTCTACAACATTAAATTCACACACCTGGCAGAAAAAATTAATGGATTTTGAATTATAATTTTCCATATTACTGGGCATTTGGTATCCATTTATTTATATAGCCTTTCATTTTTGTTAACTAACCTCGAGTTGATCTTGACTCATGGCAACCCTATAGATGAGACATCTCCAAGACCCTCTTGTCCTCCACTGCTCTGCTTAATTCCTGCAACCCCTTAATACCCGTGACCTCCTTAATAGAGACCATCCATCTAGCATGTGGCCTTCCTCTCTTCCTACTTCCCTCCACCTTTCCCAGAATTATTGTTTTTTCCCAAAGAGTCTTCCCTTCTCATGATGTGTCCAAAGTACCACAGCCTCAGTTTGGTCATCTTGGTTTCCAGGGAGGTTCCTGGCTTGATCTGCTCTAGGACCCATTTGTTTGTCCTTTTGGCTGTCCATGGAATCCTCAGCACTCTTCTCCAGCACACATCTCAAATGCATTGATTTTCTTCCTATCATCTTTCTTAACTGTCCAGCTCTCACATCCACATGGTAATATGGAATACAATGGCCTGTACTATTCCCACTTTTTTGTTTAGCTGTATATCATTGCATTTTAGAATCTTTTCTAGTTCTTTCATAGCTGCTCTTCCCATTCTTGCAGTCCCCATTTCTATCAATGTTTGATCCCAGATATGGGAATTATTTTCTATTTCTATTTCTTCTTTGTCTAGGTTGAACTTGGAAAGGTCCTCGGTGGTCATTATTTTTGTTTTCTTTATGTTCAGCATTAAGCCTGCCTTTGCACTTTCTTCTTTGATCTTCCTTAGTAGTTGTTCCAGGTCTGTGAGGTTTTCTGCTAGCATTATGGTGTCATCTGCATATCTTAGATTATTGATATTCCTTCTTCCTATTTGCCCTCCTCCTTCTTCTGTGTCCAAGCCTGCTTTTCTTATAATATGTTCTGCATACAAGTTGAACAGATAGGGTGAAAGGATGCAGCCTTGTCTTATCCCTTTGCCAATTGGGAACCATTCTGTTTTTCCATGTTCTGTTCTGACAATAGCCTCTTGTTCTGAGTACAGATTCCTCATCAGGACTATGAGATGTGCTGGCACTCCCATGTCTTTAAGGGTGTTCCATAAAGATATTTGCCAAGTATTTAATACAGAGAAAACATTTTATAGTGTTTATAGTGTCATATGCTTTGTGACAGTCATTTCCACATTCAGTGCCTAACAAGGAACATAAAAATAGAAGGAGGAAGAAATAGAAGGAGGAGAAAAAGAAAAGAGACACATGCATTTTTTTTAGAAAGCCAGTGTGGTGTACTGGTTTAAGCATTGGACTAGGACTCTGGAGACCAGGGTTCAAATCCCAGCTTGCCCATGGAAACCCACGGGGTGACCCTAGGCAAGTCACATTCTCTCAGCCTCAGAGGATGGCAATGAGAAACCCCCACTGAAGAAACTTGCCAAGAAAAACCCATTATAGGTTTGCCTTAGGATCCCCATAAGTCAGAAATGATTTAAAGGCACATAACAACAACTTTGGGGATTACTGGAAATATATGGACTATTAATACTATTAGTGCCTACTGGTGTGGTTGCAGGGATCAATTTCTTCAGCCTGGTGGGGCTGTGGGCATGTTTATGGCGGATGGAGTTTCAGAGTTGTGGTCCCTCAAAAATAATTTTTCCAAGCTCTTGTTTGGAAGACCCAGAAGTGACTATACTATCAAGGTCAGACAGCTGTTAAAGGGAGAGGCATCCTGAGGAGTCTCTACAGCAACTACTCCATCTGACTAGTATTCAGACTGAGGGCAAAATGTAAGTTACCTTAACTGTCTACTTCTAGTAATGAATTTAAATTGCCATTGTATGGGCCCTGGTGAGGAGAGCAGAGGAACTTTAACCATTAGTGAGCTCAGAACATGGAGAAATTAGTTTTTTGAATGACAGCTCCCTGGATCCCTTGGACAGGATGCTTGTTGAATAATTGTGGAACTTGCTGTCCAAAAAATGAACTTTTTCAAGTGGCATTGATCCAGATCAGGATTCCATTCCTGTTGTTTGCATTGTGTTTCCTCACAAAAAAAGTCTTTTTTGGCAACAGCTGTGGTCCAAGCAGCAATGTAGGAGATGGAGGGGGTTCTCATGAGGCTTCAGCATTAAGCAGGAAATGAAGGGGCAGCAAGATGACATAGCAGTCACATACACACACTGTGCAAGAAAGCAGTAAATAGCAGGGCAGCTGGTGACTGTGGCAGCAAGGACCACATTGTAGGGATGAGTGGACAGGTGAGAAATGGAAAGGACAGGAGATAAAGAGCTAGGGTGCAAAGAAGAGAAGGAGGGAAAGCAGGAGGAAATAAACATATAGAAAATGGAGGAGCAGGAGATGATGGATGTAGGGTTTCTGCAGTGCAAGGCATGACTCATTCAAGTCTCAGGGCAAGGGGAGAAATCTCAGGGCAAGAGCAATGCTCTGGAAATAAAAGTTATCAGGTTGGTTGGTTTGCTTTTAATAATGTTGCTCCTACTGCTGTGGGCTGCTTCAGGGTGACTGTTGTCTTTTCCAGGGAGTCCACCTACCAATTTCTCCCCTTTCTCCTCCCTGTCTCCCAAGTTTCTTAAACTACATCCAGCACCAGGGCTCAGTTGAAGGAAATGGACAGGGCAGGGAAATAGTGAGCTACTGGAATGCTCACTTATCTCAGGAATGGGTTGCTGCTTTGTGGCTTTTCCTGTGTTATTGTTCATTTCTCCCCAGTTCTGTTCCCATCTTTGTCAACCTATTCTAAATGGTTGAAACTGCAGTAAATTTCCTTACTAAGGGCCTCGGCAGACGGCTAATTGAGCCGTCTCCGAGGCAGGGAAGAGGAGGGGAAGCCGCATGCTCGGCGCCCCTTCCTCCTCCCAAGGTTTCCCTCGGAGCCACTGGCAGGGAAGGCAGGGAAGAGGAGGGGCAGCTGCACGGCCGGCGCTCCGGGGGCAACCTCCCGCCGCAGCGTCCGCACACGCTGCGGCGGAAAAGCCA